ATTTTCATTAGTTTTTCTTCTCAATAGCTTGGAAGAATGAAGTCATTTCAAGCCCATGGAAATGTCCAATTTTGTTACTATTATTTACCTTTTGAGGGGTGATGGTTTAATTAAGGAAACGAAAGTGTTTGGTTTCTTCTCAATTTTAGGGCATGCTAGGAGTTTTGACAGCTATCTAATAAAGGAAAACAGATGGTTTGATGATTGAAATAATCATGCCGTTGGTGGGTAAAATGGGGAAATTTTGGGAATTACTTGAGCCCAAAGCATACGTTTAGTGGGCCATCCTATGGTTGAATAAGCAAAAGCCCATTATGGGAACCACACTTAGAAATGGCAACGGGGCGGGGTGGGGTCGGGGATCACCCTCCCCGTCCCCGATCCCCGACAGCAACAATTTCTCCGACCCTGGCCCCGATCCCCGACGGGGGAGCTATCACCACCCCCGCCCCCGTCCCCTAACGGGGATCGGGTTCCCCGACCCTAAAAACTCCCCGGTCCAAAAAAAAAGAACAAAAATGGCAGATGATCAACAACAACAACATCATGCATCAATAACAGTGTATACTTACACAACAAACAGATCAACAAAATCATTATACATAATAGATAAAAAAAGGAAAATCAGAGAGATGGGAAAGGCGGTGAGATCGCTGTGATATTCTTGAGCAGGGAGATCGGCGACGCAATAGTCGGTGAGATCGGAGATCGCCGTGATGGGAGGAGGGAGAAGACGTCGGAGAAGCCCCTGCCACCACCATCGGTGAGATCGGCGAGATGGGAGGTGGAAGAGGACAGCGGAGGAGCTGCTGCCGCCACTGCCGACGCTGTGACCGTGAGGAACACCTGCAGAGAGAGAGAGAGAGAGATAGAGAGGCGAAACAGTTTGTAATGTGTGTGAATGAGTGTCTTCAGTTTAGACAAATCCTAACAGATACACATATATTATATATATATACAGGGGCAAATTACTAATTTCATGCCGGGAGGCAACCAGGGCGGGGAACAGGGACGGGAACGGGCCGGGTCCGGGGCAGTGAATGTTATCCCTGTCCCCGGCCCGAAATGCTTCGGGGATTTAATTTCTAATACCATCCACGTCCCCATGGGGGTATTTTTCGGGAAAAAACCATTCTGATCGGGGTCGGGGGGTCGGGTCCCCATCGGACCGGGTTCAAACTGCCATCCCTAACCACACTCAAATCTTCTTTCTCATGTTGGTTGCCTCATTCATTCAATGATGTAGGGGAATTTATCAAAGTACCCTTGTGCTATTAAAAAAATGACACATACTGGCTGTTAAATGACTAGAATACCCTTCTAAATCTTGATCGTTTATTGCATCAATAATGTGTTACCAAATGACCATCCTCTTATAATCTCCTAAATACCAAGAAAAATATGTTCTTAGATTTCACTATCTATATCAATTACAAACAAGAAAGGTACGACCGTGGTAATCCTTTTTGCGTATTCATAGTAATTAACTCTTTTTAAAATCATATTTGCTATTCTTTCTTTGTAATGATATTGTTATGATTTTTATTACAACAAGACATTTAACAAAGGACATAATCTAATGGTCCAAGTTTGAAATTAAATTTTAAAAAATAAATATTAAAATAATATTAATTACATATTCTAAAATTATGTCGTTTTGTTTCAATTTTAAATTTGGACTGATGAATTATCACATCAAAATCATTATAGAGATATTGATGATAAAAGATCCTAATTCTTTAAAATCTATTTGAAGGGCATTTTAGTAATAAGAAAACTCATCCTAATGCATGGACTGTGGAAGTGTTTTTCCCTTCTATAAATACAAAGAGAATATCAACCTCATTCAATTGCAAAGCCAAAATTAGAGAGTGAAACTCAAGAGAGACATTCAGAGATGAGGCCAGCCACTACTGGTGCTGTCGCCACCACCAACACCACTGTTGGATTCCAACGGTGGAATTCACCCATCCCTTACCTCCTCAGCGGGCTAGCTCTAACGCTAGGACTTATTGCATTTGCATTGGCAATTCTAGGTTGCTCCGCAAGCAATCTTCTTCCAACCCATCAAGTAGCGCCAATGAACAACCTGGTACTCCCCTATCTGTGTTACAGCCAGAAATGGAGCCAAAGATTTTTGTCATCATGCCCGGAGATGAGAATCCAAAGTACCTGGCAAAGCCAATCCCTTCTTCTTGCCATAGCGAAAGAGTCTGAGATGTCTAGTGCTTCACATCCACAACTACTCTAGGTCGGTTTGGTGCAGCTTCTGATAGCTAATAATTAAAAGCCACAAGTCAAAAACACCCTTCTTCTGTTGCCACCTTGTTTTCTTTTATTAGAACAGTTTTCAATAGCCCTTATCATTTTAGTTCTCGCTTTTGTTGGAGCTTCCAAGAATATTATGTAAATTTATGAGTAAAATAGGTGTTAATAACCTTGTATACTATGTTTTTTGATGCATAATTTGGTCTTGTCTTTGTATTAGTTGATCATGTTGCAATTTTCATTCAGAGTTTTTAGTTCTGGTTTGCTAATATTTATGGGTGAATATGTATCTTTATCAGTTAATTCATGTGGAGCACATCATTTGATCTTTGTGTGAATAAAAGAAAGAGAATACTTGTTTTCTTGAGTTTAAGTCATGGCATGAATTTTATTTTATTTTTAATATTTTTTCTGAAAATACTGCATCAAATAGGACCGAGTCAATATTTTAGAAGGAAGTTTGTTGTAAGAGTTGCCTCCAAACAAGCCATCATACTGATAGAGCTTACAAAGAATAATTTCTAGTGGGAGACTACTACTTAGGTCATGATTCTATTGACAAAAAGGACTACAACTATACAACCAATGATTTCACATGCCACTTAGGAATCCTTCTCAGTCAAAAATCATCCATATCAGACCATCACAAGTACTTTGGATTGACATTAATGCTCCAGGTCTTCTGATCTTATGAGAGAAGCTATATTCAAAATTGAATTCAACGAATCAAAAGTCAATCAACCTTTTTTTATGATTCAGTGATTCCATTATGTTATTCACCAATTCATCCTTGATTCATAGTTATTTGACGATTCATGTAATTATCTATTGAATGGTACAATTGGAATCACAAATTGTGCTAATCTAATAACAGAGGTATTGATTACTTCAAGAACATTGAGTTGGCAAGTTTTCATCTTCTCATGATTAGAATGCAAAGTCATTGCCACAAAAGTTTTGTGAATTGATTTAAGTAATTTACATGCTTCCTACCACTACCCAAAATTTCCACACTAGTGCTTTTCTCTCTTTTTTCCTTTTTTTTCTTTCTTTCTTTCTTTCTTTTTAATGAATTTCGTTGACGGGTTTCTTTCAAGTCATTGTAATACTCAAGAAATTAGCCACTCATTATTATCTGTTTTGAATTCCCCCTAAGAAAGCCGTAAACTTAACACATAGAAGTGACTCAGACTTGTTTTGGCAAGTGGATAAAAAGTCACTTTTTGACTTTTAATATATTTTGCATCACAATATTACTCTACTTTTTTACACATTTTTTCAAAAAAAGCCACAAAAAAAAAAAAACAATTTTTAACCAATTTCTCAAAATAAGCCTATTTGCCACTACTAAAAAGGACTACTAGTACTAATATTAAAAGAAACACCTAAACATGAAATAAGTTGACTTCTCTTTCTACTTTTTTTTGTTTTTGGAATGACTTCTCTTTCTACTTGGGTCTTTTCATAGCACAGGGATCATTTGTTTCAAAAAAAAATTTATCTCCTTATCTCGTAATTTTTATATTCAATAATTTTGAGTGCTTTCAGACAAAAAACAAAAACAAAAACAAAAACAAAAAAACAACGGAATTAGATGACAGAAGATCAATGATCATTAAATTAACCAACTATCCTTGATAAAGAGGGGGATAAATGTATTTGAAATTTGGTAATGGGTTAGGTTGGTGAGTTAGGGGGAGAAATGTATGGTTGCTTTGAGGACTTGGACAGTAAGAAGTTTGAAAGGTTTGTGTAAAACAGCCAACAGAGTAAGTAAAAAGGTACAATTACTTTTTTCTAAGTGTGACAAATTAGTCTAAAGGAGTTTGCTACTCCACATCATCTTCATTTAGTGGGAAACATATGAAATAATAATTAATTTCCACTATATATTATGCTTTCTATACAAATAAATAAATATATTTACAATTATATTGCTTTCAAGTTTCAAACTTCTAAAGAGCTCTAAAGATTCATTTTAGTTTTATATAAGTTCCCAATCAAAATACTGCAAACTCAACCAACAAGTGTAAATTCCTTTTAAAAAATAAGTAGACTGACTGCAACAACCAAAGCAATACATCCCTTGATGTATTATTCTTAATCATAACACTTTTTCAAAAAGACGATGAATGTCATTCAAATTCATCAAAAACTTCTTTGTTTTACATAGCTAAAAGAATATCAAGTATTGTCATAGAATAACACTCCAGCTATAGGTGATTTCCAAAACTAGAAATAAGGTTCTAAAGAGGCTATACTAGCAACCAAACAAAGAGACATCAAAAACACTAGGGCGTGTGAGAGTGATCAAAAGGTGCTACAACTGAGGTAAGAATGCGTTGTTGAGAAATAAGATCGTTCTCTCAAAAAGTAAAAAGTCACGCAGACAATTCTATGAGAGGCAGAACATATTTCCACAGGGTAGTCATGCTTAGGCCTTCTAGAATCTCTATATATGGTTCGGATGGCTTATGTATTAAGAGTATGCTCTAAATAAAGCCATGACTATTGCTGAAGCAAGAGAGGTTATTACAACCAGTGCTTCAATCAGTTGTACTGCACAACTGGTCAAAGCACTTGTTTTGGACCTCCCATGCTTTGGCAATAGCCGCGCAGCCTCTAACTAGTACTAAAAATATTCTGCTCCTTTCTACGAAGTCATGGATGTTAGGGTTAGAGCGGAAGTGGTTTAAATACAGAAGAAACATCCCAATTCAGAGAGTCCAAAATCTTAAACAATACAGTCATGGTATTTCATAGAAACGTACATTAAAATAGAGCGTCAACCCAAATTCAGGTTCTGAAGTGAGAAATACACACAAAAGAGCATTGCAATAACTGTTTCTAAACACCAGAAAATCATACATAGGAACAGAAAAGTTCATGGAGTTTCAGAATACACCAACCATGAGATGCAAAAATGATACAGCCTTGACCCAACTGTCCTCTTTCAATAGATAAGAGGGGGTGAGGAGATTCAGCTTCAGACTTCAGTTGGAGGTTTCAACCTTACGAGCCTTTTGATTCTATCCTTGTCCATGTTCTCTAGCAACCCCTTCAGCACAAAGAGGAAAAACTATCACAAACATGAACACTTGACAGTAAAATGTGAAACAAAAGGTAAAAGAAAATCAGATTAGATAGCTTCTCCATTTATATGACAAACATGAACTTTTATACACTACGTACGTAAGTAGCTACCCATGATGAAGGTTGATCAGAGTGACTTCAGATTATCAGCTAACCAAACCAAGCCAAACTATGTCCTGTGTCCCAATCAAGTGGGGACACAAGGCTAGTGTCTCTGATGACTATCATCAGACACCTGTTATTTTGTGCATCACAAGGCATTATTGCATGGTGCTGGTTTCTCAGTGGTATAATAATATTAGTCTAGTTAATTTGAGATTGAAAACCATTCCAGTGTGAAACTGAAAATTGGAAACAAAGGTTTGATGCTTGGATTGATCCAAGGATGTCCAGTTCTCAGCAAAAATATTAAAATTGATCTAATAATGTTGGTGCATTCCCTTACCTTCCACACAATCTCATCCAAACAAAGGCAGATCTTTCCATACTTATCCAGGAAAAGGCGCTCTGTTGGAGGTTTCCCACATACATCCTTCACAGCTGAATTTATAACAAAAATTGCTTCTGCCACTTGGAGAAACCAACCAAATCAGAAAGAAAAATCCAAATTACATACAGCGGACAAGCATATAAAAGCTAAGCACCTCTCCGGTCACTATAATTGTTACACAATCAGTGTCTCAGTGGGCCACACGGAAGTAAAGGAGGTGCAATCATCATATCACTAAAGAAGATGGTTCATCATAACTGATTTGTTTTAACTCAGGCAAAAAAATTCCATCACCCTTCCATATCAAATTGGCAAGGGTGATGATTCTAATCACTCATGCAGGAACTTATATCACGAAAGAATAGAATAAATATGAAATATACTCACAGGCAAGCTCATCATACTCATCCTTGCCAACAGCAAAAATGCTTACATCCCCAAGCACAGTGTAAACAATATAAACTGATCTGGAAAAGAAAGGATTAATGAATCACGCGTAATTAAGATCCAATACAAAACTGTAAAGGTCTTACAATTCCATTACGTATAAGCAAAAAAGATGTCTCATAGTAGACCAGTTCATCATGCAACCAGTGGATAGATCCGGCCTCAAGTTTCTTTAACTTAATAGCATTTTTGTGAAAGTTTCATACGGACAAGAATTACGATTTGTTGGTAAAAGGATGTGGCATTTATACGAAAGATATTCACATCATCTTAATGAAAAAGGCATCCAAATGATAGAACGGATATTACATACTTGTGGCAAGCAACTAGTAGCTCTTCATTCTTCACACCTTTAAGATTATCTGCTCCCAGCTTAACCAAGAAAGAACGCCAGTGCAAACGTTCCTCAGCTGGAACTCCATTGAACCTATACAATACAACATAAATATTGACTCAATGCCTCAACCATGTAATACTTCAAAGAAATCTTGTAAGTGCAACCAATAAAGATTATGCTGTCATGTTTGTAGCACCCACATTTGTTGCTTTCGTTTCTTAACCCCAAGAAGGAAGTTGGCATTGATACTAATCAAATTTTTTATTTTTTTTCATTTTTTATATATAAATAAAAACTTCACTACAAAGAGCATAACAAAACGAAAACAAAAACCCACAACACAATCAACAGAGAACTATAGGAGTTTATTCTAGATAAAAGAAATATATTATTAGTTAGGTGTTCTTTTCGTTGGAGTATGCACACTGAATAGTTGTCTTCTTCTTTGATTCATTTAAGTAGGTGTCTTCTTTTTGAACTCTAATGAGTGAAACTCAAAAATTATATGGCAAGGGAAGCAGATATGGAAAAAAAAAAAAAATTTCCAAATAGTCTACATTGTACACATAATCACTTCTTTTTTCCTGGCATAGCGATTTAATCTCACCTCTCTTCAACTATGTTGTACTTCAAAGTCCTTCACTCTTTCTAATTAAATTACTTGGGGTTTGTTTTATGAAGAAGAAGAAGAAGAAAAAATAAAATTCCACATCTCGCAGCAGTTGGTTAATACAAATAAACATATTCCATCTCAATTATATTATAGCAATTTCTTGCAATTTGTTTTTCCAACATATCAATAAATTGAATCAATCAGGAAATCTTAATTTGAGGTATTTGGGAAGGAATTTAAAAAGGTAAAAGAAAGAAGGCAAGTGAAATGAGAATAAAAAATATTTATATTTTACCAAATTTTAGGCACCTTTTCCTCTTCCTTTTCCTTTTCTAAATTCCTTTTCAAATCCCTATCCCTCAACCAAATACAGCATAAATGTCAAAAGAGGTGACCTAGCTCTGGCATCGCAGAAATCAAAGCAGAGAGTTCATCTAATCTAAATCTATGAGTGGGGCCAAAAAATAGTGAAACCCTAAATTCTTAGCCAAGTAAGATCGATCATAAGATTTTAAACCCATTCAACAAGCTTGCTTTTTTATTATCGAAAAACAAAAAAGAGTAATGCTACAGATCGAGAATGTAGAATAAAAAGGTAAAGGTGTGTGTGTGTGTGAGAGAGAGAGAGAGAGAGAGAGAGATATCGAACCGTTCGACGAGGATGTTACCCTCCGAATTGGCGATCAGCAAAGCCAGTAGCATGTCTTCTTCGCTCGCTCCTCTTCTTCTTCTTCTTCTTCTTCTTCAATGGCTGGCTGGCTAATCTAACGCCTTTTGTTTCGAGAATTTGGATTCGCTGAATTTAAAAAAGAAGAAGAGTAATAGTATTGGTTGGACCGAGACAACAGGCCAGGCCCAACCCCACTCATTTTGCTACATTTTCATTTGTTACGTTTCATTACGGGCCGTCCTGAGTCGATAAAAAACGAAAACAAAGTGGAGACAGATAGTAGTTTTGGAGTTGGGCAACCACTGTTTAAGTTTCTTTTTTTTTTTTAGGAACTTTTGGGGGGACAAATTAAACTAATAGTCCATGTAGTTCAAGGCTTGTGTCACTTTAGCCCTTAATTTTTCAATTGTGACACATTTGACTCTAAATTTTGAATCTTATTCCAAATAAGGACAATTAACATACCATTGTTTAATTTTAAAGACAAAATCTTCAATTTGATAAAATATAAACTAATTTAAAAAAAATAAATGTTAAAAAAATATTTTAAAAATTATTTCTACTCACCAAAAATAAAATTATGTAAAATTGATAAAAATTAATAAAAATTACATAATTAATTTTTAAAAATTAATTTTACATAATCATCATCCAAATACATAATAAAAATTAATTTGGTAAAAAAAATAATTAAATGTCTAAAGATTTATCAATTTTATATAATTGTATCTTTAGTAGGTAGAAATAATTTTTAAAAATTCAAAAATAATTTTTTAACATTTATTTTTGTCAAATTGACAATTTTGCCCTTGAAAAACCCAATAGTATATTCAATTGTCCTTATTTGGAATAAGATTCAAAATTTAAAGTCAAATATGTCATAATTAAAAAGTCAGAGACCAAAATGACGCAAGTCTCAAACTATAGGGACCGTTAGTGTAATTCATCGTTTTTTTTTTATATAGAATATAAAAAGACTGTTGTTGTGACAATTCAAAATTTTAATTATTCTGTAGAATTTATATTAATATTATTTAATCTCAGTTCGAAAAATATATAATTTATTATATATTATTATGTGTAATTTTGTAAAATAATATAATTATTAAAAGTTTAGGGATCAAAATATAATAATAATAATAATAATAGATATAATAATAAAATAAATAATTAATTTTCTGTTAGTATATGATAATGTGTAATTTAATTAAAAATTAATTAATTTATATAATTATATTAAAATATTGAAACAAAAGATAATTATCTTAAATATCTATTAAAGATAAGAATGAATCTATATAATTATGAATTAAATCTGAGCGAAAGTGACGCTGCCACGTGTTGAGCGCCTGTGGCGTCCTCCTCCCTTAAATAGGGAGGAGTTGATCAACCTGCGTGAAGAAAAAGAAAGAAAGAAAGAAAAGAAAAGAGAGAACAATGAAAGAGAAAAGGAAGAAAAATAATAAAAGTTAAAAGGGTCTTTGGTAGAAGAAAGAAAGAGTAAGGTATTAAAGTTAAGGTGAGTTATATTATATCTTGAGTCACTAAAATGTATTTTACGTATGTTTTAAGTTTCCAAAATCTGTTTTATATAAGTTATGTTTTATAAAGGTTTCAGTTACGTGGTTTATCTTCTGAACCCCATTTGCTTAAAAGGAAACCTATGAATATATTTGTTTTACTTTTAAAGAATATTTGACTATGACCTTATATACAGTTATGTTTTGTAAGTACCACCACGGGAGTCCTATGCCTTGGGGGACTTAAATAACTATTGGCCTCTGTTTGGTTACTTTGTGGCCCTCTGATCCATTGACCTCTGTTCTGTGCGGACCAAAGTGCTGTACGGAGTTAAGTACTACACTATTGTGGGAGCCACCTCTTGAATCCGTACTTCTGTTCTGTGCGGACCAAAGTGCTGTGCGGAACTAAGTGCTGTGCGGAACTAAGTGCTACACTATCGTGGGAGCCACCTCTAGAATCTGTACGAGCCACCTCTTGAATCGGTACCTCTATTCTGACTGTCACTTCTGTGACCTCTGCTCTGTTCTGTTTTGTTCTGTACCGTGGTTATGATTATCTATTTATATAATATTTGTATTTCAGTTTCTGCTACTCAAATGATTTATGTATCAAACTGAGTTATGTAAATGTTTTGGTCTAACTAACTATCCATGGTTATTTCATATCCTTATACTCTTTGTATAATATTTCTCACTCTGCCATGTGTTTATAGTTGTTTACCAATTTTCAGGAGACATGCAATTCAGAAATAGCTTTTGGAAAGTCTTAGAGGCGGGGCTGCGGAATAGACATGTGTGGGTGAAAATCTGACTACACTGCCTGCTTAGTGATCAACTGGAGAGCACAGGCAGAATAGATGGCTTCAGCAACCTATAACAGAAAGAAAAGGCTCCGGTGGTGGTTCTTCCACCCGGGGGCACTCCGACGATCAAGTCAGTATATCTCTCAAAGATAATCAAGTGCTAAACTTAATACTCAAAACATAAATTACATACCTTAGATCCACGGGGGTGCCTCTCTTTTATAATATATTCAATCCAAGTCCTACTAGAAGTATGACTTCTATGAACTCCAATTCAGTGCTTACTTTGGACTCCTTAAGAAATAAAGATAAACTCCCTAAGAGCTTTATCCTTATCTTGGTTAAGTCCCCTCTTCGTCTTAGGACTCTTGTCCCTTATTCGCTTATCTCGGATTCCGATATCTGCAGAGATAATCTCGGCTGACACGTCGGCGTCACCATGCCACGTGTTGGTATTCAGAAAATATATCCCCACAGGAGGCTATAATTGGTTGGGATGGTGACTTTTGATACTCTGCTGAACTTCTTATCAATCTAATTATGACAATGACATATTTTGTTAGAAAAATATTTTATATCACTAATTTAGTATTATTAATACACAATTAATGACGTGAATTTTACTATTGATATAATAATTTAACTTTTTTATTTTTTTTTTTACACTGCAATGATCCTTTTAAACCTTCTAATTTGATACTCTAAATGGGAACTGTATTTTGTTTGTTTGTCTAATTATGTAGTCATTATTCAGACGATTGGATGTGAAAAAATAATGTGTTTGGTTTGAAATTTTTGAATTAAGTTTTTTGAAAATTAAATTTTTAGTTTTCGTATTTTTTTGTTTTTAGTGAATATTTTTAAATATTTTTTTTTACGTTTTTAGATACGCCTTACTTAGATGTATCTAAAAAGTAAAAAATTTGTGAAAAAATATTTTTAAAAATTAATAAATACATAAAAATATAAAAAATGTACTGAATTCTAATATTTTTTTGTATTTTTTGTATTTAGTGAATTTTTAAAAGATTTTTTTCAATTTTTTTTACTTTTTAGATATGTTTATGTTAAGTATGTCTATCTAAAAAGTAAAAAAAATTACTTAAAATATTAAAAAAATTCAGTAAAAATAAAAAAAATACAAAAAATAAAAAAATAAAATTTTTTAAAAAATATTTTTAAAAAATGAAAACCAACCATAGGTACTATTTTGAGTTTGATAGCCTTCTTTGTCAGTGAAATAAGACCATCATACAAAGAGAAGGCTAAAACCACAAGATTTCAATCAAATCAAGGAAAAGTAGATTTGCATACATAACTTGATATGATGTCTACCGTGTTTGGTGCAATTGCTTTTTTTCTTAATTTTTTTTATGTATAATTTAAAATATCAGTATTTAGCCAAATGCTACGACAAAGGACCCACAGAATCACAACAAAACGTCATAAAAATATGGAAATATTACAACTTCACGGTACCATTTTGACCAATCGCAGACAGGACCTTGCAAATATAGCAGCTTGCACCTCAGTTAACGCCATTTTTTGTTGCACAAGTGAGGCAGGCCTTGTGTGAAGAACCAAGGCCCCGTTTGTTTCGTTGGATATAAAATGGAGGATATAATATGATGTGGGATTTAGTCAGGATATATAATGAATAGGATATAAGTATTGGATAGTATATCCCTCAAGTCATGTTTGTTGACTTGATATATAAGATTGGATATATGTTATGCATGTTTGTTTTACAAAATATATTGTGGGATATAAGTAATTTCCAAGATTGCCCTCATAATATTATATTATATTATATTAAATTAAATTAAATAATATTATATTATATTAAATTCAAAATTTATATTAAATTAAATTCAATAATATTATATTATATTAAATTCAAAATTTGTATTAAATTATATTATATTAAATTAAATTAAATTAAATAATTTAATATTATATTATATTAAATTCAATAATATTTATATTATATTAAATTCAATAATATTAAATTAAATTCAATAATTATATTATATTAAATTCAAAAAAATATATTAAATTATATTATGTTAAATAGAAAAAAGGGTAAATTGTACTTTTTACATCATATCCCCACCAAGAGGATATGATATAATGGGGGGGTGTGGTATTGTATATCCTCCACTTTTGGGGGATATACAATCCCACTGGATATTATATCCCCTTCAAAAAAAAATTGCAAACATGGGATATATGGACCACACCGGATATAATATTCAATCCCAATCTTTATATCCCCCAATCAAACAGGGCCCTAGACTAAATACCAAACTGTAATTTTGGACGGACGTAAGAGAAGTAATAAAGAGTCATAAATGCTATATCCCCTTCAAAAAAAAATTGCAAACATGAGATATATGGACCCCACCGGATATAATATCCAATCCCAATCTTTATATCCCCCAATCAAACAGGGCCCAAGGGGTTATAAATATAATAGAGAATAGATAGAGCACTACAAGAAAAGTGAATTTATGAGATTGAATTTTTTACGATGACAAAAAATCATTTTTTGTGAAGGTATAATTTGTCGTCGTAAAAAATGTAGCTTTTTGAGACGTCACAATTTGTCATCACAAAAAATATGATTTTTTGAGACGGCACAACTTGTCGTCGCAAAAAATGTGCCTTTTTTAGACGGCACAGCACAGCTTGCCGTCGCAAAAAAAATGTGACTTTTTGAGACAGTACAACTTGTCGTCGCGAAAAATATGTCTTTTTGAGACGGCACAACTTGCCGTCGCAAAAAAACGTGACTTTTTGAGATGGTACAGCTTGCCGTCACGAAAAATATGACTTTTTGCGACGGCACAACTTGCTGTCGCAAAAAATAGAGTATTTGCGATGACATAAATTGCTGTCGCAAAAAAATAGAGTTTTTGCGATAGCACCAACTGCAGTCGCAAAAAATGCGACGGCACCAGCTGTTGTCACAAAAAAAAAAAGAGTGAGTTTTTTGCCACTGTAATAGGCACCGTTGCAAAAAAAAAGTAAAAAATATATATATATATATATTATGGCTTTGAGAAGACTAGACTTCATATATATATATAGTTACAAAATGGTTTAGATAAATGCAATGATATTTTTCTATCATAAAAAAAAATTTGAAAAAAACGGCGTCGTCTTACTCTTTTGATATAACATTTCTCTTTTCACCCATTTTTTCAGCTTCCTGTCTCTCTGTCTCTCTTCTCTTTCTCTCTCTCACTCATCACTCTTCTCTGTATGTCTCTCTCTTTCTCTCTGTGTCTCTGTCTCTCTATCTCTCTTTTCTTTCTCTCTCTCTCACGCATCACTCTTCTCTGTCTGTCTGTCTGTCTCTTTCTCTTTGTGTCTTTCTTCTCTTTCTCTTTCTCACTCATCACTCTTCTCTGCCTATCTGTCTATCTGTCTCTCTTTCTCTCTGTGTCTCTCGTCCATCTTTCTTCTCTCTCTGTCTCTCTGTCTCTCTTTTCTCTTTATCTCTCTCGCTCATCTCTCTCTGCCTCTCTCTCGTTTATCTCTTTTCGCTATTTTTTCTCTCTCTGTCTCTCTCGTTCATCTCTCTTCTCTCTCTGTCTCTTTTTTTTCTATGTCTCTCTCTCGTTAATCTTTTTTCGCTTTCTTTCTCTCTCTCTTTTGTTTATCTCTTGCTCATCTCTTGTTTCTCTCTCTTTTTTTGTCTCCCTCTCTCTCTCTATCTCTTTCTCTCTTTGTCTATCTCTATCTCTTTCTCTCTTTGTCTCTGTCTCTCTCACTCATCACTCTTCTTTTTCTCTGTCTACCTGTCTGTTCGTCTATCTATCTGTCTCTGTATCTCTCTCCCTCACTGTGTTCGCCTTGCTCACTTTCTCCCTCATCTCTTCTCTATTTATTGAGCTCCCTCTCAATTTATCGATCTAACCATGTTGGGGACCTCCAATGGGAGGTGACCCCCAACACCCTCCACCTCCACGTGGGGGGTTGTGAGAGCAAGAGTGAAAAAAAAATAATAAAAAATTTTGAACCAATCAGAAAACAGTGGGGGTGGTGGGGGTCACTTCCACTGGGGGTCTAGGGCATTTTCCTTATCGATCCACTACAAGAAAATGCACTTTTGGCGACCAGTTTGTCTCTTTCTCGCTCATCACTTTGTCTCTGTCTCTATATCTCTCTTCTCTATCTGTCTCTCACTCATCTCTCTCTCTCACCACCCATCTCCTCTACCACATTTACCACTACTGCAAATGTCATTCCACTACCACCACTACTACCACTGTTGCCACTCCACTTCTACGATTGCCATTACTACTGCTATTACTACTACCATTACCTCTCCTCCACCACTGCTACTCCATCTCCTCTGTCTGTCTCTCCCTTTCTCGACGTGTCTCTGTCTCTCTTCTCTGTCTCTCTCTCTCTCACTCATCACTCTTCTCTGTCTGTCCGTCTTTCTCCTTCTCTCTGTGTCTTTGTCTCTCTTCTTTTTCTCTCTCTCACTCATCACTCTTTTCTGTCTGTCTCTCTCTCTCTCTTTTTCTCTGTCTCTCGTCCATCTCTCTTCTCCCTCTGTCTCTCTTCCCTCTTCTTTTTTTTCTCTTGCTCATCTCTTTCTGTCTCTCTGTCGTTTATCTCTTTTCGCTCTTTATCTATCTCTCTCTGTCTGTCTGTCTCTCTCTCTATATCTTTTCACCTATTTTTTCATCTTCCTCTCTCTCTTTTCTTTCTCTCTCTCACTCATCACTCTTCTCTTTCGGTCTATCTATTTGTCTCTCTCTCTCTCTCTCTCTCTCTCTCTCTCTCATTCATTTATCTCTTCTCTCATCTCTTTTCTCTCTTTGTCTCTTTCGCTCATCTCTCTTCTCTCTATCTCTCTCATTCATCTCTCTTCTCTCTATCTCTCTCGTTCATCTCTTTTCTCTCTATGTCTCTCTCATTCATCTCTTCTCTCTGTATCTCTCGTTCATCTCTCTTCTCTTTTTGTCTCTTTTTATGTCTTTCACTTTCTATCTCTTTCTCTTTTTGTCTCTCTCTTTCTCTTCTCTGTCTCTCTCTCCCTTCCTTATTGTGTTCGCGTTGCTCACTCTCTTCCTTCCGTCTTCTCTATTTACTGAGCTACTTCTCAATTTATCGATCCACTACAAGAAAATGCACTTTTAGCGACCAATTTTCTCTCTCTCGCTCACCACTCTGTCTCTGTTTCTCTCTCTCTCTCTCTCTCTCTCTCTCTCACGTCTCTCTCTCTCTCTCACCACTTATCTCCTCTACCACCTTCACCACTACTGCAAACGTCATTTCACTATCACCACTACTACCACGGTCGCCACTTCACCTCTATGACTACCATTACTACTACCATCGCCACCATTATTGCCACTACTACTGCCATTACCTCTCCTTCACCCCTGCCACTCCATTTACTCTACCACTACCACAACTTCACCACTAATCTCCTTCGCCATCACCACCAGCACCATCATCTCTTATCCACCACCTTCACCACTATTGTCGCTCCCTCTCCTTTACCACAAAATATTACCTCTACTTCTACCAAATAAAAAATAATAATAAATTTTTTTTTCATTAAAATAAAAATAAAACAAATAAATTTTCAATCTTAATAACTAAAAAAAAAAAGATTTTTTTTAAAAAAAAAAAAAATCATTAACTACAAAAAAAATATATTTTAACAAAAAATAATTTTTTTTGGCGACGGCAACCCCCGTCGCAAAAAAAAAAAAAAAAAAAAAAAAAAAAAAAGAAAAACGAAGAAGAAGAAGAAACAGTTGCAGTGACAGTGAGCTGAAATGATAGCATCGAACAGCAATTGCAACGAAAGTAAACATTAGATTGCTTATAATTCCAATAAAAATATTCAGGTTTTGTTCCATTGATCCAACCTCCTAGTAACCTATAATCGATAATTAAGTAGATCCCGTTGACTACTAAACTAGTTCTTTAGACCAATATTTAAGACTACAATCAAGTCCAAATTAAGTTCCACGCGTGTTAACCTTCTCTTTAGCTTCTCAACACAGAAACCATTCTCCAAACACTCGAAAAACCAAAAATAGATCTAGATTACCCTTCGGCAATTCCAAAATAACATTTGATAGATATAATTACCCCAGTTCTTTGTTGGTTCAAACCTCCACTGGTCGCAATTAACAAGTACCGATTGGATTGCGTGATTAATTTAGCATCTGCAATTTGAAGAAGAAGAAAAAAAAATCCAAATCAACCAGAATACTATAATGGCAACAGAACAAAATCGACAAACAAGAAGCAGTATAATAAAAATTAAAAAAAAAAAAAATCACCAGCAAATTTTTTGCTTGCATTACTGCATCCGTAGTAGAATTTAGACAGTGTTGAACTCCAAATGTCACGATCCAGTCTTCCTCCACTGATCTACATTCCAATAAGCGATAAATAAATCAAATAAAACAAACTCAGATCCAATCGAGCTTAATCAGTGAATAAGAAAAATAACTAGCAAAAGATAAAACCCTAACCGGAACACGAAAAACCGAAACTCCATCGTCGTCGACGTCATTTTTTAACTGAACAGAGAATCACAAGTTAATTGAATACAGCAAGAACAATATGCATACATATATATATGTGCGTGTGTGTGTGTGATTGTAGTGTATATGAAGAGAGAGAGAGAAATGAGGAGAGGAGTACCGAGGCAGGGCGGAGAGGGAGGTGGTGGAGGTGTTGATTGTGAGTTGGAGAAGGGGCGAGAAAGGAGAAGAGAAGGAAGAGGAGGAGCATAGCGCCGGATACGGCGGAGATTGCGGGAATAAGGACGCGGAGGCGGCCGTGGTTGTGGTGGCGCCGCCGGTGGAAAGCCGTGACGCCCATGAAGATCGTGGTAGCTATACAGCTGCGCTGAGCGGTGCTCTTTCTCTCTCCTTCTGTTTACTCTATAGCCAGAGCGATGCTTTGGAGAGAGAAAGAGAAAGAGCAATAAACCATACCATAATTCACGCATAAACCACCTCTCGAAAAAAAAAATGAATGTGCAGTTGGGATTACCTAATGAGTACGGGCAACTTGGTAAAGGTCTCGGGGGTTAAGACGTTAGGTCTTAAGTTTGATATTTTTTGGGTTAATTTTTTGGGCCTAGTATAGTTGATTAAGAGTTTAGTCATAAATTGTCTAGGAGGCGAGTCTCAAATTATTATTATCACAATTGGGTATTCAATCTATTATATGTAGAGTTTATTATTAAACTTGTGGGACACATCAGGAATTTATTTTTAATAATTCGAACCATTTAATATATAAAATTTGTCAAGTACTTTATGGTTGTATAAAAAAATTATATTAATCGAATATCGGTATCACAGGATCGAAACACATTTTTGGGGTGTCCTAAAAAAGTCAAAAAGTCAAAAATGCTTAGTAACCAGCTGGAGAGCACTGGCAGAATAGATGGCTTCAGTAACCTGTAACAGAAAGAAAAGGCTCCGGCGGTGGTTCTTCCACCCGGGGGCACTCCGACGATCAAGTCAGTATATCTCTCAAAGATAATCAAGTGCAAAACTTAATACTCAAAACATAAATTGCATACCTTAGACCCACGGGGGTGCCTCTCTTTTATAATATACTCAATCCAAGTCCTACTAGAAGTATGACTTCTATGAACTCCAATTTAGTGCTTACTTTGGACTCTTTAAGAGATAAAGACAAACTCCCTAAGAGCTTTATCCTTATCTTGGTTAAGTCCCCTCTTCGTCTTAGGACTCTTGTCCTTTATTCGCTTTATCTCGGATTCCGATATCTTCGGAGATAACCTCGTCCTTGTCGAGATCACCTCGGCGTTACGACCAGGACACGTGGCACCTCGGCTGACACGTCGGCGTCACCTTGTCACGTGTTGGTACTCAGAAAATATATCCCCACAAGACACATACAGCACTTTTATGATATTTTTCTATATAAATATCGACCTTTTTGGTCAATAATTCTGTAATAAAAATAGAAGCTCTGATTATTATTTTGGTACCCTTATTTAAATATTACTTCCGCTCGCGTTATTTGATTTGTTTAAGAATTGGTCGTAAGTAACCTCAATTACTGGCCATCACGATGCTTAACCCTTGGGTACGGAGAACGGGTCGTGACAAGTGGTATCAGAGCAATGGTTTATAAAAAAAAAAAAAATCATCATTGGAGCATAGGACACATGCACATTTAAGAAGTAAGATTATGGGTAATTAGTACCGAATTATTATATTTTGTTCGTCGATTTAATTATATTATAATTTTATATGATTATGTATACATAATAAATTTTTTGTTTAGTGTGCCTAATTTGTGAAGGATATTAGATATAGTTTATAATTGTTATAGTAAAAGAAGGACAAGCAAAGAAAGATACCGGGCTCAAGCACTTACCAAAATTATAATATAATTAAATACATATAATTTTCAGTTCAGTATTCAAGAAAAAAAAATTATTTTGATGTTTTTAAAAGTAGGTTCAAATTATAAAGATATTAATTTTGAAACTATTTCCCATCAATGAAAAGTTCATCTCAAAATTTTCAATTCTTGAATATAATTCTTTCATTGTGTTCTCATTTTTATTTATTTTTATCGTAAACAAACGAGTGAAAAGTTTTTAAAGTTGCTCCTTATTTCTTATTTTGGCCCAAAATAATTTTTGACAACTAGACAGTGCGTTATTTTTGATAAAGTTTTTTTTTTTGAGGTACTATTTTCTATCAGATTAATCATCTAATATATATATATATATATATTTATCAGAGTTATATATATATTTATCAAAGTGCGGAGCAGATAGCTTACATATGACAAATTTCGAGGACGAAATTTTAAAAAGGTGGAAGATTGTGACAACACAAATTTTTAATTATTCTGTAGAATTTATACTAATATTATTTAATCTCAATTCGAAAAATATATAATTTATTATATATTATTATGTGTAATTTTGTAAAATAATATAATTATTAAAAATTTAGGGGTCAAAATAATAATAATAATAATAATGGACATAATAATAAAATAAATAATTAATTTTCTCTTAATATATGATAATGTGTAATTTAATTAAGAATTAATTAATTTATATAATTATATTAAAATATTAAGTGAAAGGTAATTATTTTAAATATCTATTAAGGATAAGAATAAATCTATATAATTATGAATTAAATCTGAGCGAAAGCGACGATTACCCCGTGTTGAGCGCCTGTGACATCCTCCTCCCTATTTAAGGGAGGAATTGATCAACTTGCGTGAAGAAAAAGAAAGAAGAAAGAAAGAAAGAAAAGAGAGAAGAAAGAAAGAGAAGAGGAAGAAAACTAATGAAAGTTAAGAGGGTCTTTGATAGAAGAAAGAAATGGTAAGATATTAAAGTTAAGGTGAGTTATATTATGCCTTAAATTACTAAAATGTATTTTACGTATATTTTAACTTACTAAAATTTGTTTTATACAAGTTATGTTTTTAATAAAAGTTATGTTTTATAAAGGTTTCGGTTACGTGGTTTATCTTCTGAACGCTATTTGCTTAAAAGGAAAACCATGGATATGTTTGTTTTACTTTAAAGAATATTTGACTATGACCTTATATACAATTATGTTTTGTAAGTACCATCACGGGAGTCCCACGCCTTGGGAGACTTGAATAACTATTGACCTCTGTTTGGTTACTTTGTGGCCCTCTGATCCATTGACCTCTGTTCTGTGCGGACCAAAGTGCTGTACGGAGCTAAGTGCTACACTATTGTGGGAGCCACCTCTAGAATCTGTACGAGCCACCTCTTGAATCCGTACTTCTGTTTTGTGCGGACCAAAGTATTGTGCGGAACTAAGTGCTACACTATCGTCGGAGCCACCTCTAGAATCCGTACGAGCCACCTTTTGAATCGGTACCTCTGTTATGACTGTCACTTCTGTGACTTCTGCTGTGTTCTGTACCGTGGTTATGATTATCTATTTATATAATATCTGTATTTCAGTTTCTGCTAGTCAAATGATTTATGTACCAAATTGAGTTATGTAAATGTTTTGGCCTAACTAACTATTCTTGGTAATTTCGTGTCCCTTATACTCTTGGTATAATATTTCTCACTCTACCATGTGCTTATAGCTATTTACCAATTTTCATAAGACATACAATTCAGAAATAGTTTTTGGAAAGTCTTAGAAGCGGGGCTGCGGAACAGACACACACAGCACTTTTATGATATTTTTTTATATAAATATCGACCTTTTTGGTCAATAATTCTGTAATAAAAATAGAAGCTCCGATGATTATTTTGGTACCCTTATTTAAATATTACTTCCGCTCGCGTTATTTGATTTGTTTAAGAATTGGCCGTAGGTAACCTCGGTTACTGGCCATCACGATATTTAACCCTTGGGTACGGAGAGCGGGTCGTGACAGTTGTGCTTAGTAAGTTGGTGGTTTTTTTATTATTTTTTTATTTTAGCTCAAGAGTCCTTAAGGCCTCGTTTGATAGGTGATTTTTTTAACTAAAAAGTCAAAAAAGTTATTAAAAAATAAAAAAATTAACAATTTATATAAAAAAGTCAAAGATTCTCTATTCTCTATATTTTTTGCATATTTTTTCATAAAAAACTAAAAAATTATTTTAAATGCATTAATTTTTTTACATTATATATTAGTTAAAAAATTAAAAAATTACTAAAAAAATCTGTCTCCAAACGAAGCCTAATTTTAAAAAGTTTTGGGACAACTACTAGTACAAACGAGGCCTAATTTTAAAAAGTTTTGGGACAACCACTAGTACAAATTGGTGAGGAGGGGAACTGCCTTTTTTTGGAACCTTTCTTTTTAACATTTTAATATTTTTTTGGGTCTAATTAATGATAATTAATTGAACATTTTTTAATAAAAAAAAATTTACTTATAAATCTCATATTCAGGAATGGTAATTCATTTAGCCTCCGTTTGGGAAGTGAGTTGGCTTTTTAACTTTTTGATTTTTTTGATTATTTTAGCCTGGGCTAAAAAGTTTGGTTTGGGAATGGCTATTTGGCTTTTTAGCTTTTTTGATTTTTTTTGTGAGAGAAGAGTGTAATGATTATAGGTTAGATGTGATATTTTATTTTTTGTGGCTAAAATAGCCTATTTTGTTTTTTGTGGCTAAAATAGCCAAAAAAGCCCTGTTTAGCTCTTGTCAAACGGAGCCTTAGTCTCAAAAGTTTTTTTATATACCAATTAGTTTAATTGATTTTGGAAAGAGAGATTTAATATATTATTTAAAAATTAGATTTACGCTTATACCCTTATTTCTATTATATATATATATGTATATATATTTCCTTTTTATGCTAGAAATGTAAGATACACAATTTATGGTAATCAAATTTGAGATTAATTTTTATATGAGAATCTTTTTTATTTAGAATGACTTGAAATGTAAGATTTTTCAAATATTTCAAAAGTACTACAAATGATTTGAAATGTGAAATTCTTTAAACATTTCAAAAAGAATATAAAAACTCATTAGTAAGTTTTGAGCAAACATATAATTTAAATTGTAACACTCTAATGTAACACTCAAACATAACACTCTAAAAAAACTTCTTAATATACTTTTTCCAAATGTAACACTCAAATGAAATACTCCCAAAAAAAATTCCTTCCTGTAACACTCTAAAAAAAACTCTTTATATATTTTTTTTCTAAACGTAACATTCAAATGTAAAACTTAAAAAACTCGTTAGTATACTCTTTTCCAAATGTAACATTCCAAAAAAAACACTCTTTAGTGTAACATTCCAATATAAGATTTTTAAAAAAAAATTCATTAGTATACTTTTTTCCAAATGTAGCACTGCAAAAATAAAAATTATAATTCAAAAAAACACATTAGTGTATTTTTTCCGATCGTAACACTCTAAAAAAATGATGTAAGATTCTTGAAACTATTTGAAAAAGAGTACAAAAATTTCGTAATAAGTTTTGGATAAATGGATAATTTCAAACTATGAGTGTTATGTTTGTGAAAACTATACTAAGAAGTTTAGTGTTTTAATGTGCTATATTAGAGTGTTACATTCGAGAAAAGTACACTAAGGAGTTGCTCTTATATATATATATATATATATATTGGAGTGTTACATTTAAGATTATATTAATTATAGTGTTATGTTTAGGAAAAATACACTAAAGAGTTTTTTTTGTGTGTTACATTAGAGTATTACATTAGAGTGTTAAGTTTGAGAAAAGTTTAGAGTATTATATTGTTACGTTTGAAAAAAGTACATTAAAAATTTTTTTAGTATGTTACATTAGAGTGTTACGTTATTGAAGTATTACATTAGAGTTTTACATTATTGTTCGTAGTGTGAGATTTGTTTCAAAAATAGGAAAAATCTAAAACTTCTATACTGCGGATTGACCAAATGTATAATTTTAAATTTGGAGAAAGCCACTTTTATCCCTAAAAAATTAAATCTAAATGTGTAAGTGACTACTTTTTTATGTAATTTTCACTTTAATGAAATTTTTAGGTTCATAAGAAAAAAGGAAAAACTAAACCATTCATGAGATTATATTTTGAAATTTATTGTTGCTTCACTCTAAAAAAATATCTATTAAACTTCTTTTAAGCCAAACCAAACAAGATGGTTTTCATTCATTTGGTTTTACCATTTTTTTTTTAATAAACAAAAATTTGCAAAAAAATACTTTTCTTGTGTTTCTTAAAAATGGAAATTTTATTTTTATTTTTTTGTTTAAAAAGGCTTGGCAAGCAAATGTGCTGGTAATTTTGTTAACGTCGTTTTGGCCATTTGAGCCACTTTTGAGCCACAAAATTTGAGCTACGTAGCATTGTCGTTTCATTCATTTGGTTTTACCATTTTTTTTTAAAAAACAAAAATTTGCAAAAAAATACTTTTCTTGTGTTTCTTAAAAATGGAAATTTTATTTTTATTTTTTTGTTTAAAAAGGCTTGGCAAGCAAATGTGCTGGTAATTTTGTTAAGGGGTTGTTTGAGATGATCTAAATAAGCGTATTTTTTAATTTTTTTATGAAATATGAGTTGAGTATGGTTTTGGGTTGAAGTGATATGATAGAGAGGTGATATGACTTAAATAAGATAATGTGACTTAAATAAGATAGTGACTTTTTAACTTTTTGACTTTTTTAGGTTATGACAAACAAGAACTAAATTTAGAGTAAGGTACAAGCTATCAATGCATTAAACAATTGTATTGTGTGCTATGAACCCAATCAAATTTGCATTGCATTAGTGTGTTTGGTTTGAGTTTTTTAAAAATTGAATTTTTTAGTTTTCGTGTTTTTTTTTTTGTTTTTAGTGAATATTTTTAAAATTTTAAACATTTTTTACTTTTTTAGATGCACCTTACTTAGATGTATCTAAAAAATAAAAAAATCGTAAAAAAATATTTTAAAAAATTAATAAATACATAAAAATATAAAAAATATACTGAATTCTCATATTTTTTTTTTAATATTTTTAGTATTTAGTAAATTTTTAAAAGATTTTTTTCATAATTTTTTTACTTTTTAAATATATTTATATTAAGTATGTCTAAAAATTAAAAACATTACTTAAAATATTTAAAAAAATCAATAAAAACAAAAAAATACAAAAAAACAAGGAAGTAAAATTTTTTAAAAAATATTTTTAAAAAACTCTAACCAAGCTTATTATTAATCTTGTAAATTTTGAAAGTAGTACCTTCATTTTGCACTTGCAGACTTGCAGTGGAAAGTTTTTTTTCTTGTAATTCTTTTCAAAAAGAAAAAAATAAAAAAATAGAAACCTTCCTTTTGGTTTTTTTTTTGGGGAAAAAAAAAAAAAAAAAAAAAAAAAAAAAAAAAAAAAAAAAACAGGAAAAAGTGAAACAAGATAGAAACAACGAATTAAAAAATATAGGAAGAGTCAAAATTTATTAAAATTGTAATTTAGAAAATAACAATGCTACATATCCTCAAAAAAACATAACCCCACAATTTCCACTTACTTGTGATTGGTTCATAAAAAAAAAAAAACACAAAAACACAAAAACAAACACATAATTGATCCACATCATTCCGGGTCATAGGGTCTCCAACTTATAAGCTCACAATTCCCACTCAAATGTGATTGGTCCAAAAATAAATAAATAAATAAATAAAAACAAACACATAATTGACTCACATCATAGAGTCCCCAACTTTGAACGTCCAAGCATTTTTATGTAGAAAAATGCTCAACAGCATCATATACATTCCTTACTCTGATAGAGGTCAACAAAACTGTGGAACATGTGTACACATGAGAGAGAGAGAGAGAGAGTATTTCAACTGTTGAAAGTTTAAGATACAAAGGCAATAAAGCCTTCTGCACAAGTATAAAGTGACAAGGCTAAAGTCAAAAATAAATGAGTGTTCGGAAATATTATCCTACATACCAAAGGTTTCTAAATTAATGCTAGAAAAACCAGAATAAAAATCCTCACTCCCAATGCAAACAAAATTTACTGGATTGCCCACCGATATTTGTTTAATAAAGGAATGAAATCAACAGAATCCATGTCCAACATCAATATTGTGAGTCTATGATGTCTACAAAATGATCATCAATAAGCAACAAGTTCATAATGGAGGTACATTCAGAAAAGAACTAAAATGACAGCTAAATTTTATGGAAAATGCTACATTGGGTCGGGGATCAAATCCATAATTGGATATTGCCATTTCAGCGCCACGAATCCATCTTTATAGAATATCTCATACAAAAGAATCATCTTGATGTATACATGACCTAATTGGAGAGACTTTCGAAAGAATAAGGAAAAAAATCCCAGAGCTTCGCTCTGAAAGTTGAAACTAATGATGATAAAAATCTGAAGAGGAAAAAATACACGTGAACCGAAATGGACAATAACAGCAGTCCAATCTATAAGTCACCACATTGTTGTAGCAGCAGAAACAGTACTCACCTAGAGGCCAAAATTGCACACTTGCACAAATTCCATTTCATAATCAACATATTTAGTCCAAAGATGCTTGAATTGGTTCAAAGCAATGTCAAGCCAAGGTTTCATGTTTCCATTAAAATGGATGACAGCAGCATTACGGATCTCATCCATGCTAGCACTCGGATTGTACCCAAGTCCAAGGACGTGCCATGATTTGTCCAAGGATTTTGTTGTTGAGTAGAAGGTAATCAGGCCTGCTGGAAGTGTTCCCAGTTTCCACACAGAACGATCCTCATTCTGAAAATAAAATTTACAAAAAAATTATGTTAACTTGACCTAGCACTTACAAAAATGAGTACAAATTCGTCCATACCCGAGTCAATTAGAAACAAAAAACAAGTCAAACTAGAAGCTAGAACACACTTACCAAGTTCTGCCAATAATGATACTGATCGGTGCATTTCTCACGCCTCCAAGCATCAAGGTCGAATATATTCATCCCGAAAGCCCAGGCGCAAGCCTTGGGATTGAACCTTTCCCTAATCAAAGGATGAGAGAAATTCAAATACTGAGCATAGCGGTGGAATGACCCAAAGCACGTCTCAACAGCCCCATTTACCTTCCCATCCAAATCAATTTTCCATAAGGCTGTTAAATCCTTCTGAACAACAACATCGTCGTCAAGGAAAAGAATCCGGTGCAGCTTTGGGTACATCTCCGGCAAGTAGAACCGAAGGTGATTCAACATGGACAAGTACTTGGGGTTCCTGAATTTCATGTTATTCACATCTTTGGTGGCATTCTCTGCCCTGTTCTCAAAGTAAAACTTCTGCGTGTTCACAGATTCAAGTTGTCGAAGTACTGGAACATAAGAGGAAGTCAAAAATGTGAAATCCTTCACAGATTTCACCTCAACATGGGCACCCCCCTCTACTGGCCTCCTCCTAAACCAAACTTTCATGGCTGCAAGATTCATCCTATCAGAAACAATATGGAAAACATGTTTCCAAGGCTCATCCGCATTCTTTACTACTGAATTTACTACAACAGAGACCGCAATCACATTATCTGAAAAAATAGCATAATGATACAACGTTGGATCCTCAAACTCGGGCTTAGGCTCATCATCCCTGTACTTTTCAGGATGCGCAATTCTCTCCTCCATAAGCCGCATTGCGAGACAATGCAAACTCTTTGGAGTAGATTTGGCAGCAATTAAGCTAGCAAATGCACCATTCTTCTTAGCCTTAACGAGCAGCTCATTAACTGCAAATATTGTATCCTTCAATTTCTGAATCTTTAACTGATTATCATAAGATTCTTTTGATTCGGCAATCATTAATCTAGCAATCTTAACTTTATCTTTAACCTCCTTCTCAAACTGCCTCAACACATCCTCATCCACCGGCCCATCAGACTCAAACAAAGCTTCTCGATAACTTGGTTTCAACACAAGTTCTGAGAAATTCTGTGCCAAATCATCAAACATCCGGAGCTGCCTAGAGTTCTCAAGCTTAAGCTTCCTCGCATAAGCCCCATACGCATTCACAAGTGCAACATGATCATTTGCCTGCTTATAAACTAAGTCTAACTTAGTCTTTAACGGATCTGACTTCAATGCTAAAAATGTCCGCTGAACATAAGCGTTTCCAGTCATCGGTAACACCTATTTAAACATCAGATCAAACCATCAAATCTTTAATTTTAACATCATAAAGTAATTTTGAATTCAATTCACATTTCACTCTCTCTTCTTCTCTTTTCCAACAATACAATTTCTGGAATACAAGATCCTCAGCATAATTTCAAATAATTAGTTTTATATACAACTTAATTCAAATTCATAAATGATAAAGCTATTTATTCAATCATGAAATCCATATGTAACCTATAAAATCTAAACAAGAGTTATTCTCTGGAATGATTAATGTCAAATTCATGCAATTCAAATCCATAAATAGAAACGGAACCTAACCGAAGTTACTGACTTTAATAGAAAATTCGAGTAAAAATTGGTCAATATAGAAGACAAATACATACAGACCTAGCATTTCCAGTGAGAGAGAGAGAGAGAGAGAGAGAGAGAGACATACGGAATCGTGATAAGAGGAGGGGTGGGAGGTGAAGAGGACGGAGAGAGTGACGAGAAAGAGGAGAGTGAACATGGCCGAGACAAAGATCCGGAAGGAGATGAGGTTGCGGAGGCCGCCGGCGAATGCGCCACCCGATCCTCGGCTGCCCCGGGATGCAACCGCCATTGGATTTGTACCAGATCTAACCGTATAACACACTAACTAACTTTTCTCAGTTCGCGTAAATCGAAGATTTGCCTTTTGACGTGACAGTGGAAAAACAAAAGTTTATTGAGAGAGAGAGAGAGAGAGAGAATTTGGAGTGGGGGATCTGGAGTAGAAATGAGAGACGGAGAGAGCGAGAAAGAAGATCCAGTCACCGACTGATCTGTGTCCCGCGTCGGTGGTATTTTTTTATTTTTTATTTTTTTTCTGAACCTGTTCGTGGCCTTTGATTGAACCCTTTTAGTTCGGGTTTGTGGACTTTTTATTGTTATTTTATTATTTTTTTTTTTGGATCAGGTTAAAAAAAGGTTATGAGGTGTCTTCACGGCCCCATAGGCGCGGACTTCGAGATAATTAATTGTCAATTAAAAATTAATCCTCACCATATGAGGGATTCACAACCGAGACACTAGAGGAGTTCAACTATATCCCACGGGCCGCTGAGAGTTCGAACCGGAGTACAGAGGGGGGTCTCAAAGAGAACACTTCCACACTCCTCCCAGGATTCGACCCTAGGTCATACCTGTGAAGACGAGTTGCTTTCTCCACTGGGCCACCACCCCGGTAGTGGACATTAGCTCATTTGAAATGTGTAAAACGAACAAAAAAATATATATAAAAATTGTATTCATAATTTGTACGTATATATAAAATATCTAAAATATTTTTTTTCATGACTTTAATAATTAAAATATTTATTTTTTCATCGATTTTTTATTTTAGTTGAAAAAAATAGATAAATTATTTAAATTGAAAATAAATTCAAAATATAAGGTTTAAATTAAAAAAATTAAAAATTCAGGATTTATTTTATTACACAGCTCAAACCTTGGAGTTTTGCTTATTAATTTAAGATTGCTTGGCTCATAAATTTTTTGTTGAGACAATAACTCTAATTTTTAATTTTTAAAATTATAAAAAATAATAATGTGTATATTGGGTTTGGTTTGGTTTTTTATGAAATATGTGTTGAGTTTGAAGTGATGTGACTTAAATAAGATGATGTGACTTAAATATGATAGTGACTTTTTGATTTTTTGACTTTCTTAAGTTATGACAAACAAGGTGTTAGGATCAAACACACCCAGAGAATTATCTCACACACACAGAGAACACAATATTTACGTGGTTCGGCCCAATGCCTACATCCACGGACAGAAATGAGAATTATCACTAAAATGGAGCAAAAATACAAATACAGAGGAGGAGATAAAACTCACTCAACTCACAGCTCTCACACTCAATTTCTGATGGTTCTCACTCTCTATCTCTTTCAACTCTTCCCTCAACCTCTATTTATACACCAATGAGGGAGAGCCTCATTGGTCACCACCTACCTTCTTCCACTCTCTAATGGGGTTGGTAGAGTGGGAGAGCCACTTCCATTGGGTGGAGAAAGTGGGCTCTCCAATAGGAGCTCACATGGGATGAACCAACACAAGGCCCCTAAGTTTTTTGAAAATTGAGTTTTTTATTTTTTGTTTTTATTTTTTTTTAGTTAATATTTTTAAAATTTTGGGTAAATTACAAACACACCCCTTGAGGTTTACTTAAATTACAAATCACCCCTGTGATTTTAGAAATTATATTATGTCCCTTAAGGTTTCTAATTTCATAACAAATAGATCATTTTATTAATAAATCATCAAATTAATTAATAATTTTTAATAATGTTAAAATTTTATTTCAATTAATAATTCAAATAATTTTATTATTGTATAGGTAAACAATTAGAAATTTCACTTTTTTAATTAATTTTGTTAAATAAAAAATTCTGACAGGGAAGTATTTGTAATTTTCCAAACCACATGGGCCAATTCGTATTTTACGCAAACCTCAGGGGGTATAGTTGTAATTTATCCTAAAATTTTAAGCATTTTTTTTTTACTTTTTTAGATACACCTTACTTAGATGTATCTAAAAGGTAAAAAAATTATGAAAAAATATTTTAAAAATTAATAAATACATAAAAATATGAAAAATATATTGAATTCTGATATCTTTTTATATTTTTTATATTTAGTGAATTTTTAAAAGATTTTTTTTTTACAAAATTATACTTTTTATGTGTATTTATGTTAGATGTGTCTAAAAATTAAAAAATTTGCTTAAAATATTAAAAACAATTTAGTAAAAACAAAAAAATACGGAAAACAAGAAAGTAGAATTTTCTGAAAAGTATTTTTGGGAAATCAAAAACAAGCAAGCTGAATATTATCCATACCTATATGTCTATTTGTTCACTGTCTACTTATCTGTTCACTTATTTTACCTATCTGTCTATATCATCAATCACTCTTGACCACCTTCGGCAACTTTTTCGAACATTTTTTCATCTACTGATAATGGGGTAAAGAATAAAAAAAATATTTCAAAAGGGGGAGACTTCTTTCCAGTCCACTATATAAATTAGAGCGTATGGTTAGGCCTGTGAGACCTATCACAAGTTTCATTTTGATAATTCAAACCGTTAAATGTGTAAACCTCATCAAGTACTTCATGCCTACAAAAAACTACTTTGATCGGATATCGATAACCCCTTGATTGGAATACATTTTTGTCAATAGTAAATATGATTTTAAAAATAAATTGTTAACAAAAATGTGTTCCGGTCCAGAGGCTACTAATATCCAATTAACATGATTTTTTGTAGGCATGAAATACTCGACAAACTCTACACATTGAATTGTTCAGACCATAGAAATAGGACTCGTAGTGGGCTCACAGTCCCAATAATATGCTCAAATCCACACAATAGACCGAAGAGAAGCATCTCCCATTTCAAAACAATATTTTGTCTTTTTCAATAAAATAATTTCATTAATTATGCACTTGCAATAAATAAAAAGTTATGTGATTTGTGTAGGTCCTACACCCATACCCATGTAAGAGGTTTGGGATAAAAAATTTGATAATATATTTGAGGTCCATAAAATTTTTCATAAATAAATAAAGACCAATTGTTAGACTTAATTAATGCTATACATAAATAAATAAAAAATGTTAGACTGAATGCTATACAAACCAAAGAAGTAGACTTTCCACCAATTTTTTTTCTTAATTTAATAAAATAATTATTTTATATTATTAAAAATGATAGTTATAATAATATCAAGTCCACTAATATCGAATAATTAAATTATTAAAGAAACAAATATATTTAAAAAACAAGAAAAATGAAACGTTGAAGTAAGCTCTGTGATAGATCCACAAAAGTCTACCCAATCCAACTGTCCATTTCAAATCTCCAACTATGCCCAAGCTGCACTCTTTTTTTAATCTTGTAATTGGGTTTGGCAATGTTCATAATATTGTCAAGGAAGTGTTTTGATAATTTCAGATTTTAAAAATAATAGTTTACCAGAAGGAGTGAATCTTGGTTGGAATCCTACTTTCTTTTCTTTCTTTCTTTCTTTCCAATTCCCCCCTTTTTTTTTTTTTTGGAACAACTTCTCAATTCTACTTTAATAAATAAATAAAATGAAAGGCTTGTGTGAATTTCAAATTTGGAATCCTTTTTATTTTTTTCACTTTTAAAAACGAAAATAAATAAATAAGACTTCTTATTATAGCTCCCTGTAATAATATTTTACTAGTATAAAAACACAACAAAAAGGTTTTCTACTTCAAATCTTCTAAAAATTTTATAGGTTATTTATATTATCAAAATATGTTAAACATTCATGTTGTTTTGTTTTTGGAATTATTGAAACTTAAAAATTAAATAACTTTTTATATACATAATTATTTTTTAGTTTTTAAAAGTTGTTTTTTTTAATCCGCTTATTGGAAAATATTAAGCAAGATTTATGATGAATATAAAAATATGAAAAAATTATTAAATATTTTAATATGTTCATTTTTATCAAATAACAATTTATTTATTTTTTTGTAAACTATGCAATTTCACTTTGGAAAATAAAATTTTGGAATTTTTTTTAGGGTCCCTGATATTAAGATTTTATAGCATAAATGACATTCAATATTTTGATAATGTCTAAGGTTTCTCAACATTGATCCAAAAAAATTTAAATCTAGAGAAATTCTAAACTTCCCAAAGAATTTCTTTGGATTCAAACTAGAGAAAATTGAACAATACAAAGAAAATTAAACAAGATAGAGAAAATTGAAATTTCTCTGAGTTCAAACCAGAGAAATTCAGAGAAAATTGAATAACATAGAGAAAATTAAACAGGACATAGAAAATTACCCATAGAAAATTGATTAGAACAAAATAGTAACAAGTTCCTACAATTTCCTCACCAAAATACTAAATTTTATAAATTTACAACCCAACTTCCTAACAAATTTTTTATTTTTGATCAACCTTCAAAATCCAAACCCAAATCCCCAATTCACCAACTTAGCAAAATTACATAGCAAAAGTGTAATACAAAATCAGAATTTCAACCCATTTCTTAACCAAAATAGTACTAAAATTCGTGAATTTAGAGCCAAATTTCTCAAAAAATAAAAAAATAAAGTAAAATAAAAAAAGAAGAAGAAGAATTTCCGAATTTTGGATCAAGCTTTGAATCCCAAACCCAAACTCTGGTAAATTACCGAGAATTTTTCAGAGATTTTTTTCTGTGTTTTGACTAATTTTCTTTGGTTTACTTATAATTTTTTCTAATTTTTTTATCCAACCAGCGAAAATTGAACAACCATCATTTTCATTTTGACCAATTTTCTCTAGCTGTGAGATATTTAGACAACAGCAAACTAGAGAAAATTGAGCAACCACCATTTTCATTTTGACCAATTTTTTATGAACTGTAAAATACAATATTATTTTATGAAATTCAAAGAAATTCCCTGAATGCATCTTCGTCTTCGTCCAAGAACAGGTCATCGTCTTTGCAATCCTTGTTAGTTGTCGATAATCTTTTATATCACCAGTGTCGATCCTCAAGCTTCGATTTGATCCGAGACATGAAAATCCTTGGCTTTTCTAGAACCAA